AAAAAAAAAAAAAAAAAAAAAGAACGTTAAAAACAGCACCCCCAAGAGCCCATAATGTTTTATTTCATTGACAGCCTCATTTCAATAAGACTGCAAAACAGTCGTTTTTTTTTCTCAAAATCAGTAAAGAAATCAGTAAAGTGTGGCGTAAGAGTCTTACGCGTGAAGCGCGATAGCCTCACACGCCCATAGCCTCGTTCCAGACCTTTTGATTGACTGCTCGCGCGTACTTGAATATGCAAAAATACGGACTGTTTTGCAGTCTACGTTTGAATGGTCACACTTAACATTTCACAGTTGATTTACTAATAGTCTTAAGAGTTAATGATGCTACCTATTGTACACTGAACATCCAAGTTGAAGTCAGTAATGTCTGAGTACTTTTATTGTAATAGATAATGATAAGAACTTAATATCGAAAAACTGTCTGCGGTACAAACTTATGGTAGTGGCATACATTCAACAAGGGCATACATTACGTCTGTGTTTTTTCTTTTCATCTGGCTTTAACAAAGTTAAGGGCCTTACATTCGGAAGCCGGCGTTTGAAACCTATAGTTTTGTACGGATATAAGTTACCCATTTCTACGCGGAACTATGCACAACCTACTGTATCGTTACGATCTGAATGGGCTCTCTCGATGTATGATCTATGAAAACAAACTAGTATTCAGGGAATACCCGCGCCTCATGTCTTGTCAAGAGCTAAATGCAGAAGAATATATAAGATGCAAAATATAAATAGTTAACTAAAACTTTGGATATAGTCACGATCACCCGCCTCTTAATGCGTCATAAGGTTATTAACGTCTACCGACTCCCATTTCCTTTCGCTTAACTCTGACAAACGTCTTCGTAACAGTGGGTGCTTAGTAATTATTACAACTTCCTACTGACTTCCATTCTTACTTTCGCATAAATTAACATTATAAAAGGTCATAATGTTGGCAAAGACTATTGTCACTTTCCGTTGGGGGTCTTTGACCAAACGTAGGCTTCATTGTTTTGTGGGATAAAGTAACAAATTCTGCTGCGTTTATCAGGTGAGTGCTGTTCGTGGACGACGCTCTCGTCTCTGGAAAGAGCATGCAGTCGTTTCTCTTTCGCCGAAAAAGGTAAAATTGTCCAGAAGCCTGACTGTAGGTTGTTGATACAAATGAAACTGTTTGAGGAAAAGGCTCGGAAGTATTTCGCCTACGAAGTTGTGTGTTTAGTAATTAAGCCATGGCTATACAATGTTTATTACTTCCTTTCATACTCCATGTGGTGCGATCTTAGGAGAGTATGAGCAAGTCCTGAATAGTCAGTTACTTCACTTTTATGATAAGACTTTATCACTTTGAAGTTCGTAGCGTTGAAACGCGTAATACTCACTGCGAACACGGCTGTCTGGCGCGTATGCAAACTATGTCACGTGCCAGATCTGCAGAACAAATGGCTGACAAAGTTGTTACGGTACGTACCGACGTTGAAAGTTTTAGTTTCACCTTTTTGTTTCCATTAACTTTCGAACGATGCAAGTGTATCTACCCTTCCAGCAGATGGTTCCATAATCTGTTTGGAAAAATGGTTGCATAAGCTGCTCCAGCATCAGTCTATAAATCATTACCAATCAGAGTTTATTCAGTCTCACACTATGTAATCTCACACAAACAAAAAGAAGGTGCGCGTTATTGTATTTTGGTGAAGTACTAGTACCTGGAACATGATTCGTGATGGAATGATATCAACAACAAATTTTTAGAAATAAAATATATAACTACTTCCATTACTTTCCCACCCGGGGGGAGGGGAGATATTTACAAATACAAGGCTCTATAGATGGACTAAACAGTAAAGACACTACAGTACAATAAATGGAACAAACTAACATAAAGAAAAGTATGTAAATAAAGATTACTCAGGCATAGTATACGATAACACGACAAATATAAACGAAGCATATAAATGGAAGTACATTAGAAGTTCCCTTTCCGCTTGAGGCAAGGGAAACGGAAGTCTTACTGCCTACGCTGACACGCCTCTTCTAGTCCTTGTAGTGTTCCAGTTCTTTCTGTTTTGTTTTAGTTGCGGTAGTTACCATTAGTTTTGGTTAACTGACTTCTTACTTTTTAGCTGCAGTTCTTTAGTCTGAACTATAAATCTCTCCTGTTATGGTAAACGTGCGCCTTCTTAAAAGAGGGACACCCTTATAAGACATTAGCGAGTAAGTAATATTTTAGATCGGAATGCTTGACCTAAAGATTTTAAAAATACAAAACGCTTATTAGTTAGTACTCCGTCTCTTCATTTTAAGTAGAAAAAAATTATTAATGATAATTAGCCCTCTGTTCCTTCCAGTCTTAATCAAACTGTCGCCTTACCAATAGTGGACATTAGTATTTAGAAAGAAATCTTAAACACCATGTTCAGGAGTACGTGTGACAGATCACTCTACAAGGCCAACTGAGGAGGTCTTTGACTGAACTGTGACCTCTTCTTTTCTATGCCCGACACTCTGTCAAAAGTGCCTGTTGCATTGTCAAGATTTATTCAGATCCATACAAACACCACTTATACTGTTTTGGGGGAATAACGTACCGTATTGGACTAAACTTAATTTTTGTTCCTTTTTCACTCTGAATTATTGATGTATTCTGTCTATAGTCTGGAGCAGGAAGCCATCAAACGTCAGATTATTGTCAAATCAACCATTACACATAAATATATATAGGTTCGTTTAAGATGATCAGCTGTTTCGCTATTAAAGCGGAAAGCACATACTACAATTGTTATAACACCAATGTTTCTAATGCAGCTGTTTGCTCTATCAGATGGTTAAGATGAAAGCATCTCAAAGATTTTTTATCTTGGTCTGGATTCTCTGTTTCGTGTGTAAAAGCACGGGTAAGTTAAAAATATACATCTCTAAGAGTAATTTTCCAAAGATTTTTCACGTAAATATGTTAATTACCAACAAAGTAGTTATACAGTCAGTCGGTTTCAACTAATCAATGATTAACACGCCTATTAATGGTTCCAAAGTTGGATCGAAGAATTGGAAAGCCAACCCGGTAACTTTTTCTCCGAGAACCTGGTGAAGATATAGATTCCACTGGATCTGTTACAGGGGGATGTTAGAGAGGGCTTTCTTAGATAGCAAGATAACAAGTTTCCCAACTGTTAACTGTTGACACTCAAGTGTTATAGAGAATGAGCTCATTCTCTTTTGATTTAAGGTGGAGCAATTTCTGTTTTCAGCTGTGAGACCGCCACCAGCAATAACAAAGTTTTCGCCGAAGGATCTGATCAACCCAAATGAGGTGAAATTCGAAAAACGAAATGCCTTCTCTCTGCCATGCCAAGCTACAGGACTGAATCTTACCTGGACTTGGAAACACAACGGGACAAAAATACCATACAACTCCCGCTATAAACTCAGTGCGGATGGAACGCTGACCGGAAGTTATTTGAATGCAGAGCATAGTGGAACATACCAGTGCTTTGTAAAGGATGAAGAAACTGGCGTTGAAGTATTTAGCAGAAAGCTACAGGTTGCAGTTACCGGTAGGTACCTATTTAACTAATCACTAGCTAAGCCTCAAAATTTCCGTTCACGGTCAATACGCTTCGGATGGGTCACGTAATGCGAGCAAAGTTTTACGGACTTCCGTCTCGGTTACTGATTACCAAAATGGATTGGCCGTGTGGGCCTGGGGAGATCCTCAGGGTCGAGGTACTGACAAGGCACGGCGACGTACTTTTGAGTTTTTCCGCTCTGCTTTTACCTATTCGCTGGCACCACTAACATTGACAAAAAGCTACTGATCATTACTTTCACTCTGTTTATTATTTTGTTAAAGGTTGTTCTAACCTCTTTGAGTCTGTGAATACATGAGATCCTAAAGTGTACCTGTACAAGGTGGTGGATAATTCTTATCAGCTTACCTGTCACTGGGGTGTACCATTTATTACTCAATACAACAATAACAACAACTTAACAACAATAACAACATTGCACATGAAACAGTTTACAAGAAATTCTCGGTTTGCACATGACGTCACCAAAATTTGTACTAAGGAATTATCAATTCTTCTGAGTTCTTACTTTCATGAGGTATTACAGCAGCTTAACAACTTTATTTATGCAAATGTTCGGTTCGAAGGGTTCTTCGTTTTGCGATGGAGGACGCTTGAGTTCCCAATTAGCTCAGTTTGCGTGACGCGGCATTTAGCTGGCGGCCTGGGAAGCCGGCTTATGTAGGCTGAAAACGTTACCATTTTTAAACTTTACTTGTCTCAGAATAAAATATTACTTTAGTCTTTATGAGTTCCTCGAGCGATGAATTCACGCATTTGTAGAAAAACTCAAAAACAGATGTTTCTGTTGGTTTCCGGCAGCAATGTTTGTGCCCCTCAAAGGGACACCAACATGGCGTCACCATACAAAGCTTTATAAATTTGGGTAAAGCTTTTTTCCGAATATCTCGCATATGAAATATCGCACAGACCTAATTCCTGGCGAGGCGTTTTGTATATTTATCTTGTTTAATTTTCAGATTCTGGACTTTCTGTATTTAACGTTTTGCATTTTCTTTAATTTTATTTTTGATGGCGTGACAGTGAAAATCGACTCCTGTGAAAACAGAGAATGAATTAAAAGTAGATTGAAAGGAAAAAGGAAATATTTCACGCAACCCGTAGTTAGCTTAAGCTAATCGAGGCGGAAGGTGAAGTGGACAAGAAAGAAAAATAAGAAAAACTAGGTGAAATAATAATTTTACGAGGAGAACAAAAGAAAAGGACACTTTATAAAATACTCATGCTCGGTCATGAGGGATTTAATTTCCGTTTCACAGGTTTTGATTTTCGTTCTTCAAGTTTTTATCTCCCATTTAGACGAACTTATGTCGTTATAGCTTAAATAGGGAGATGCAAGTGGATGGAGAGAGCGAAACTCGTCCGTTTGCCAGCGCAGCTCTGACACTACAATCTTTGCAGTGCGACTGTAATGATAGGGGGTTTTCGGCCATTTACCAAAAACGTTCGGAAACTTCCATGGAAAGGTCCATCGAGTGAAGAACGTGTTTCAAGTTCAATTGGTTTATGCTCTCGTCACCAAAACTCAAGATGGTGGCATAGCTATATATGGTGATTCCTTGTGAAAACTCGTAAATGGAACATGTTTTTTCATCGAGAAATTTTCAACGGGAAAACAGGACTACCTTTTCAAAATTCCACTTATTCCCGGGAACTTTCCGGTGGAACGTCCGAAAACGTGTGTCCCATTAACATCCCAACCGAATTTCCGGAATTTCTCAGTAAATGGAAAGTGCCTATGGCTGTGTTTTCACTAGAACAATTTTAACTACATAAAGCCGGAAAAGTCCGGAAATACTGTGAAAACACCTCGTCTTGGTTTTAGCTAGTTAAAAATGCGAGCTGTTTTCACAAGCAAAAACAAGGGATTTTCTCGCCTTTACTAGCGGAAATTCACGCAGCGTTATACTACCTCACGAGATGGTATAACTTGTCCTGATAAACGCAATAACCAATCGGGCCGCGCGTAGTGACAGACGCCTGCCAAATAATCTGGTAATATTATTTTCCAGACTATTGCCTCTTGGTTGAACTTGAGAAATTCAACATGGCAGACAATTCTAACGGTCATTTCTTTCGATTTACAATCCCACCGACCCCATTGGATTCTCTATTTCTTCGGCCAGGTCCTTAAACCAGAATTGTGGTCTTGGATAAACCCACATAGTCTTGCGCTTATCCCAGTTATGGCACTGAATGTTGTTTCGTTGTTGGATTGACAGAATTAAAAGATTTCGTCGCATCTTCCTAATTTGTAAGGACATAAGCCTCATTTGCTGAAAAAAACTCCTTCTCCTTCGCAAAAATACAGCGAAAATAATCACAAGAGAAGTCATTACATTCAAGCACTTCGTCCCCTTTAATTTTTTATTATGGCGCGCTTTTGCCATTTGAATCCTCTGAGAGTTAGTGGCTTAGATTGCCGGTTAAATTTCACAGTGAAAACAGTTGTCACGTTTAACTAATAAAAGTCGGTTTGTAAACAAATCTTAGAAAGAATGTTCAGCTAGTTAATCGCCCTAGTGAAAACACAGCCTATAGCCTCAAACGCAGGGGTTCTTTTGGCTCGTCACTCAATCCTCCTCGGGAACGCATGACGAACCCCAAAGAAAAGTGTGCGTGGAAGGCTACTAGAAAAAAATTTGCTTTATCCTAGTTGTTGGCGAATTTATTAACCCCAGAGATGTAGTACAGAGGGTCAATCTTGGACAGTCGTTCAGCTTTCAATGTCCGGAGCACAAAGCAAGCTTCGGTGTTACCTTTACTTGGGAAGGAAGTCAAACAATCCAATTTTCAAGGAACAAACGCCGTGCTATATCTCTGGTTGGTGGTCTGTATATCATGTACGTGACACAGAAGGACATCGATGAGATCGAAGAGAATAATGGCATTAAGTGCAAGATCAGTGGAGCAGGAATTTACTATCTTTCTGGAAGTTTGAAACTTGAGAAGAGTAATACGCAACAAACAGGTAACGAAAAAGCTGAGTAAGTGAATGAACGAACGAACGATTGAACAAAGGAAGGAAGGAAGGGAGGGAGGGAGGGAGGAAGGGAGGGAGGGAGGGAGGGAGGGATGGATGGATGGATGGACGGACGGATGAATGAATTAATGAATGAATGAATGAATGAATGAAAAAGAGAAACGGAATAATAAATGCTTGGCAAATGTTTATATACATTACTTGTCGATAATAACCGTGGCTTGCGATGGGCCCTTAACCAGCCATTGCCGGTTCACTGATTATCAAGTCTAACCCATGAATAGTGGCGCTGACAGACTGATAAACCATTTCCTTATTCTCAAAAATGAAAAGAAAAAAAAAAAGTTAAGGCTCTTGAGGGCCAAGCCTCAACTGCAAGTTATCAGGAACACTAGAATCATGGCCCGTCCCAAGAGAAGATAAACCATTTCTTAGTATCTCTTTTTTTTTTGTTTTCATAGCAAAGCGATCACAACTACTTCTCTTCATACAGTTTTGTTTTTGTATTTTTTAGATCCCGGAAATCTAAATGCACCCTCCTGGCTCGTTACCCCTGAAAGTCAAGAAATTGCTATTGAGGGAAGAGGCAAAACTTTGTATTGTCTGGCCAAAGGAAGGTTTGTTGTTCCGAACACGCTTTGCAAAAAGGAAAGAAATGTATTTTGTAAAAGCTAGGTTCATATTTTACCAGATGGCTTGTATGGTACCTGATGGTCTTTGTTTCAGAGATACAATTTTGTGGTCGAGGGCGCTCCGTTCGGGAAAGTGGTGTTCCTGGAACCACATAGGTGTTGGGCCGTTTTGTAACTTAACATTATACCAATTCTGAGCTTGCACAAAACTGTCAAAACTCGGTGTAATAAAGTGTTATTAAAAATAGCTAAAGTGTTTGATGATTAATAACCGGACTGATCTGAAAGACACAAAGATGCATTATGATTGTCAATTCTTTGTAGCTCTTCGGAGTGCTAGACATTTGGTAGTAAGTGGGGTTTCTTGAGGTCTCCTCGCCAAAACAAATGTAGGTAGACTTACACTACATATGGAAACAAGGCAAATGAATGATGATGATGATGATGATCATGATGGTATAGTGACCGAACATCTTCTTTAAATATTGCAGGCCTGAACCAAGCATTACTTGGAAGAAAAATGGGCAGCAAATTATTGATGGACAGAATTCTTTTGAGATTCCTGCTTCCTTCTTTGGCAGAAGTTTGAAAATTGATGGAGTAAACAAGACTGAGCATGAAGGCCAATATTCCTGTGAAGCTGAAAATTCCATGAGCAATGGTCAGCCTTTAATTCACACAGTAAATCTTGTGGTAGAAGGTATGTAAAAGCCTCGCTTCCTCCGCTCTGCAATCGCACCCTTCCCTCGAAAAAAAGAAAAAAAGTTTTCTTTTGTCTTGCAGTGGGAAGGGTGCGGCTACACGTAGGCTTTCTCGGGTGGGTCCAGGTGGGTCTCTGTAAGTCTCGAGAGTTTTGTAGTGTGGCGGTGGTGGTAGGATTATACTTTTTCATTTAAAACTTTGTAGGCGTGACCCTTTTCATAAACGAATATCAGTTGTATTTTGAATGGTGGACTTTCTTAGTCACGTGACTTACCACACCCATTTATTGATATTTCTTTTTTAACATTTTGGGAAGGTTCATTTTAGTCTAATTTGTTTGGTTTTTATCATTATAAGCACAATGTTTATGGAACTAATCGGAGTTTTTGGAAATTAAAAGTTTACTGTAAACTATGACGGTTTCATTTCAGAGACTGAGGCGAGAAGAAAACTTTAAATTATCACAAGGAATGTTTAAGTGTTGTAATTCTGAAATATAAAATTTTGCACAATAATGGACGTAGCTGGTCATGTGACTTTAAAAAAGTGCATTGTAAGAACCTAAAGTAAAATAATTTCTTCCATCTGGGCACGGTTATAATCAAAGTTAAAGGGAGTGCGAGACAAAACGAGAAAAACAAGCCAGATATCAGCGAGGAGCCATTCACGGAGGTAGAGACAAACGTACAAGTTCCATCATGTGCTTATTATTTTCTTAGTTGCACCAAGGTGGACTATTGCACCACCACTAAAGGAATTAGACATCGTCATTGAAAGGAATGGAAGCCTGGCGTGTCACGTGACAGCAGTTCCTGATGCGTCTATCACGTGGTACAAAGATGGACGGCAGCTGATTTCTTCCAAGTAAGTTTAAGACGGACAAAATAGACAAGATTTACAAAAAAACACCTCTTGTGGGAAAACAATTCAAACAAAACATATATTTCTAACAAATACTTTTCATTGCTTCTATTTCTACAGCGACAGCTTAATAATTCATAAAGATAGACTGGAGTTTAGAGGAGTCTCTTTGGATAACGAAGGCGTTTACCAGTGCGCTGCGGAAAATAAATATGGAATGATAGCTTCTGCCACTTGGGTTCGTGTGTTGGGTAAGTTTCTGTACATTGTCTTAGGGTCTATTTACACGAGCAACTTGTCCGCCTCTCATCGCTCTCCGTTGCTAGGGACGTGTCATAGGAAGTAAGGGATAATTAATTGATTAATTAATTAATTAATTAACGATTTAGAGGAAGTTCATTCACAAAGTGGTTCTTCTTCTACCATTCCTGGTCGAATTGGAATTTGGAAATGATGGTTTTTGAGAAGCGGGGAAATCCGGAGTACACAAAGAACAACCTCTCGGGGCAAAGGAGACAACCAACAACAAACTCAACCCACATATGGCATCGACGCCGGGATTTGAACCCTGGCCACGTTGGTGGGAAGCGGGTGCTCTCTCCTCTGCGCCACCCTTGCTTTTCAGCTCCCTATGTTGCCCATGTGTAAGGATTTCGTGGCCCTCAGGTGTAATCACCGCTGAAATACACGCGCTAGAATTCTGGGTAACTCCCTTACTAAACAAACTCAAGTGAATTCATCTAAACCCTTGTTAATTTTAGAGGTCAATTATGTGGAATGTATGTTCTTTAACTATAACTATTTTTAGACGGAAGAGACAAAATCCGATTGTGTGACCACTTTTATAAATCCTGCTTCAGGAGTACTTTGGTAAAAATTGTTTTAAGGCAATCAAGGTTAAAGGAGTTTGAATAAAATTTTATTCTTTGTAGCTTGGAAGCCATCGTTCAGCGACGTGCAGTTTGGTCCTTTTCAACTGCTTCACGAGAGCAAAGGAAGACTTCCTTGCAATCCGAGTGCCGCGCCTCGACCGACATTTCAATGGTTTAGAAGTGGTGTACTCATCTCGTACGGAGATAGCAGCAGGTACGAGTTAGAACAGGATGGCACACTGATAATCAAGAAAGTCGATAAAGACATGGATGCTGTGAACTACACGTGCAGTGCTAAGAATTTCTTGGGCTCAGATTCTGCAACAGCAGTTACTGTTGTTCTTGGTAAGATTTTTGTATGTTATTTTGCTTTCATTACTATCTTTACATCATCATCATCATTCTTGATAATAGCATTACCACCATCTTGACTATCTACCAGTCGTCATCACCATCTTTCGTGGCCGTCGTGATCATTAGGGACCTTACGATCTGACAACGGCGACGTCCATGAAAACGTCACAGAAAAATAGACTTCGCATCCTTTTAAACTTTTTCACGATTATCCCAATTCGCCTTGTTACTTAAAAGAAGGGAATTTTCGTTGGAGATGAAGAGAAGGGACCTCGCCCGAGTTCAAACAGAGATGGTAGAATTTATCGCCTTGCCGCTCCCGTTCTCAAGAAAACTTTGGTCATCTCAGGTCGTAATTTAGCAGGGACAGCAAAGAAATGTACAAAAAAGCGTGATGCACGTGCAGAGTTGTTGTTTTGCTCATTAAACCTATTGCTTTGTTGACGTTCTCCTCGCCGTCGCCGTCGCCGTCGCAGTTTCGTAAGGTCGCTATTATCGTCATCATCGTCATCAACAACGTCATCATCATGATCATTATCATCATTGTCATCAACATCATCATCATCGTCATCTTATCGTCATAATTGTCATCATCAAAATCACCATCATTAGTGTCATCATCGTCATCATCATTACCGTCATCATCGTCATCTTCGTCGCCACCATCATTGCCATAACCTTTACCAACATCATTACCATATCGACATCATTATCATTATCATCATTGTTATTAACACAACACCACCGCCACCACCATCACCATTATCATCAAGAACTATAGAAGTTTCTAAGCAGTGTCTTTTTGTTCATAGTTCGACCAAGCTTTGTTAGAGTGCCAACAAATCAAACCGTCAAAGAAAAAGGATATGCAACGTTTCAATGTACAGCCAGAGGGAAACCAATTCCAAAAATAACATGGTTTAAAGGCAAGAGTGAACGGAGTATTGGAGAAACACTGAGGTTTAGAGTGGACAGGGCTGACTCTGGAAAATACTGGTGCGAGGCGGACAATGGCCTGGGATTCACTATTAGGGATGGTGCTTATCTTAACGTCCAATGTAAGGAAACAGATCGTGTACCTTGATTATATTCATGACCGTGTTTAAACTATCATGAATATATCCTAGAATATGCACAGCGCTGCCTCGTACCCAGACGTCTCTCTCTCGATGAAAATGTGCGCGCAAAGGAAGGCGGGAGCGTCTGTACCCTTCCCATGGTCCCTTGCGGTTCATCACTAGTCGTTCTCCTCTACCTTGCGAAAAACGAAGCGCCTGAGGAGGAGGCTGTGCACAGCCGTAATTAGCAGTATTAGGGAGCTTAAGCAACGGTAACGGCAGCGAAAACGTCACTTTAAGTTCATAAAAAGAAAAAAGAAAATCGTTGTCGTGTGTTCCCGTCCTCCATATAACGGGAAATTAGGCAGTTTCACGTCGTACTCGTGCAAAAAGCGTGATCGCGCGCAGAGTTGTTGTTTTGCCAATCTAAACCTATTGATTTTTTGCCATTCTCGTTGCCGTCGCAGTCTTCGTTGCTTAAGCTCCCTATTATTAGCAAGAGGGGGGTGGGGGCAGGGGGGAGTGATTTATCCAGAGCAGACCCTTAGATAAGAAGGTGCCTGGCCTCAAAAATATTTTTTGGACCTATGCGCTTCGGCTTCACCTAAATTCAAGGTGGGGCTCAGGTCTCCGGGACGGCGGGCCACTCCCTTAGGGCCGGCATCTTAGGTCGTACAGGTGTTGAACCAAGGAGCTGAGAAATGTAAAACTCATCATATCGCTTTCAGTTCAAAGAAAACGTAACAATCTTTGGTTCAGTCAGAATCAAATTCTAAGGAAAAGCTCCAGGTGAATGATCCAAAACTACAATTTGGCCTTCAAGTAGACAGTAGTGAAAACTAGAACTGCTCGTTTGGGTGAGCAATAATGCGTTCTGAAGGAAGGATAAATGATTAGGCGAGAAGGAGACTTTAAGAGAGGAGGAAAGTAGAGAGACAAGTTTTCTTAGTTTCCCCTCTCTGTCTGTTTCGCCCAATTTTGTTCGCTTAACAATGAAGAGCACCGGGGGAAGTACTCAACAAAAGGTTATGCAGGGGGGCTCCGTCCCGAGGTGCTACTCCTTACCTTTTTATAGATTCTTTTAGAAAGGAAAGGTGCCCCTTTGGTATACCTTTTATTGAAAAATGGTATCCCCTTTACATATTAGTTTAGAACGCTGTATCTCTTTTAACTGTTGCACCGTCTTTTAAATATGAATAAACCACTAGAAACAGGTCCTTTCACAGACCGCAGTGTCAGATTTCCCAAACCTCTAATATACTTCAAAGAGAGAAATCCTTTCTTGTACCAGCCTCCCTGTATAGGACATTATAGGGGTATGCGTATCCCTCCCCCGCCCTCCCGGTAGAATGGGCTTTTAATTTACTAGTCTACGTAATTATTTTCTATAGCTTGCTCTTAAATTTACAAAAGAAATGTCTACAAATTTCTTTGTTCGCAGATGAACCAAGTTTCACTGTAAAACCAAAGGACCAGATAGTAGAAGAGCAAGGGACTGTGTCATTCAATTGCGATGCCATTGGAAACCCCGCCCCTGAAATAACATGGATCAAAGATGGCGAAACGATCGGAAATACTAGTAACCTAACATTTACGGCCTCCAGGAATAATTCTGGAAAATACTGGTGTTTGGCGAAGAACGAGCTCGCTGCTCCTATTGAGGACAGTGCCTTTCTTGATGTGCACTGTAAGTGGTCGCCAATGAATGTTTTAGAATTCAATGACTTGAATTACTACGACCGTCTTTTTTCAGTTCGTCCAAGGATGAACATGATCCCTCAAATTCCTCAAAGATAACTGCGGTATCGGAGCCCGAGAATTTGCGGGTGTTAAGTGGTAAAACAACTTTTGGTAAAAGTTATATGTAAGGTTCCCTTAATAGTGGTGCGTTTTTTTTGGGGGGGAGGGGTCAGATGGGTAACTCGAGTTTTGACGTCAAAGGATGACGTTACTTTAGCGTACGTCAATTTGAGATCTACGGATTGAAAGTAAGGACATCCTTTCACTGAATATCGTAGGTCCTTCTAAAAACGGTAGAAGTGATATGTGATTACGACCAACTAATTTTCGTATAGAAATAGAAAGTATTATTAATACATACCCGACCAGACTACCTTGTTTTGGATCAGTTGGCAGGAACGGGGCAAAAGCGTACATTCTTTCTTTAGGATCCTGGAGAAAAAAATACGAGTTAGAACACTGAGGTCTGAGTTTTTAAAACTGAAATGACTGGTTTTAAATTTCAGATAAGCCTGAGGACACACAGTTGTCGTTCAGCGGTCCAAACATCAGTGCCGTTCCGTTTGCTAGTGAGATAACCTTCAATTGTACCAGCCACGCTCGCCCTGATGTTCAAAAGTACTGGTTTTACAAAGAACAAGAAACACTTGGCTTTAGCGAAACTGGTGTTTTTCGTTTCGTCATCAAAAAGCCCGGTTCATACTCCTGTGCTCCTGTTAACAGTGTAGGAAAGGGAGAGGAAGCTGCAATTTCCATAGGGGTAGACGGTAGGTGCCGTGTGCTTAATTCTTTTTCCGTGATTTGCTTTATTTTAAAGCAGGAGATGTATTCGCCACGAATCTGGCGCCCGTTTCTCGAAAGACTCGGAAATTTTTCGGGCCCAAAGTCAAATTTTAAAATCAAAACCTGTTGAATAGTAGCACAGTTCCTAGCTCACAAACCAGTCAATTTTGCTTTGTTAACTGGTAGTTTTGTTGTATCATTTTCGAAATTATTGAAATTTTGATCGTGAATGCAAACGTAGCAAACATAAAGCAGCTTTCCGGGCAAGAAACGTTACCGGGACTTTAGAGAAACTGGGTCCCGTTTCTCGAAAGTCCCGATAATTAACGGGCCCGGTAAGCTGTCGCCGTTTACATTAAAGATCGAGGTTTCAATAGTTTTGCATCTAGCAGGATAGAACTATCAGTTAGTGAAACAAAGTGGAGTAGTCTGCTAGCCAGGACCCGCGCTCTTATTCTGTATATTTCGATTTGAATATTTGATTTCAGGCCCGAAAAGTTACCGGGACTTTCGAGAAACGGGCCCCAGGCCCTTGGGCCGAGTTAGCTCGCGCAAAGACTTCTGGGATCGTTACTTTAGACGCGCCGAATTTTTTTCCCTCTTCCCCGTAACAATCCCAAAAGTCTTTGTGAAACTTAACTCAACCCAGTTTCCTTCTCGTTTCTAAAATGGCGACTTGGCCGGTTTGAGGTGGTGTGTTTTGTCGAATTGTACTATGGGAATGTTTGGGGACACTATCGCTTCTTTTATTGGCTATTTCTAAGTTGCACAGAAAGCAAGGTCGAAATTCATTCCCCAAACAGTCCCATAGTGCAATTCAACACGACACCGACCCAGTCCTCCCAAGTGCAACCTCAAAATCAGCCTCAATCCCAGGGTTTAGGAGAGAGCCCTGGGAACGAGGTTGACTCAAAATGCCGCTACGACTGGATCACCACCTCCATAAAGTAACAACAAATTTATTCGTCGTGTTTATTTACTTTCAGGATCTCCTTCCCCTCCAAGTAATCTCCAGGTAAGTGATCTGGACTGCAATGAATTGACCCTGAAGCTCTCGTGGATCCCTGGAGCCTCGAACGGCGCCCCTATCGATTACTACTTGATTGAGAAGGAGTCTTCTGGTATTCCTGTGGACTTTCTCTTCATACATAACGTCACGGACCCTGAAGTCACAGAAATTGTCTTGAATCTAACTAAGAGGACTGTGCCTCGATTCCGAATGATAGCTTTCAACAAATTTGGCTCTAGTCGCCCAAGTACACCGACAGCTGAGGGAATTTGTGGGACCAAGGCCGCTAAGAACCCAACAGGTATAACTACAATAAACTGCTGAAACGACTTAGGCTCTATTCACAGAACAGATTTCTCCTTTTTGTTAAACGTGTTGGAGATTCGGTGCTGCGTTCTAACGGCTTATAGATGTTCCAAGCAAGAATGCCGGAATAAATAAATAAATAACAAAACAAAACAAACAAAGAAAAATCGGAGAAGGTACCTGCTCGTGCCGTGCGCAAGGAAGGAACGCATTCGTGCGACCTTATTGCACGTAAACCCGTACGTGGTGCAAGTTAACGCGCAAATGCGCGGGAAAGAAGATCTACTCATGTTATTGGGTGATTTCGCCGCGATATCTGTGACGGTGCGAGGCTGTGCTGGGCCGATCTCGAAAGTGGAGCGTCACATATCGGAAAGGTCCTGTGCTACACTTTGGTGTGAACACGTATTCGGACCGTAGCGGAAGTGAATAAGAAGGAAAGAGGACTGGAATTTACTGAGGCGGAAGTAAATATTTAGGAGTGAGGATTGGGATGTAGAGATCCAAACCCTCTCGGCCAAGCGCTCTGGCACGATTTTCGACGTGTGTAAACGCCTTGCTCTGAGTTTAGCCTGCGAGCAAGCTCTCCATTTGGGAGAGTCGCGAAAAGTCACGCGAAAGCAGCACGCAAAAGGATACGCGCTCGCTTTGCCTATAAACGGAGAGCTAGCAGGCTACTCTTAGCGCTGTGCGTTACGGTTTATTCTACTCCGGATAGACACGAAACGCTGTTCGTTATAGTGCGAACATTGCCTAAACTACGAGTAGTCCCTCATTTGTCCTCAGGGATAGTAGAGCGAGCGAAAATCGAGCGCGCGTGAAAATCACCCCACGCGAGAAAGGCGAGACGCGGTGGGGTGATTTTCACGCGCGCTTGCGTTTCGCTCTCTCTACTATCCCTGAGGAAAAATGGGGGACTACTCGTAGTCTAACATAGCTTTACATGTTACTGTTTTATTGATTAGATGTGGTTGGGCTGAAGCAAGAAGAAGAATCCCCAGTCTACTCCAAGACATGGTTTGTTATAGTGCTTGCACTTGTTGGATATTTTGTCCTTTTCGTGGTTGTTCTTATTCTCATTAGAAAGTATCGTTTTGGAAGAGGACACAAATATAATGGTATGTACTATATGTAACGCAAGAAAAAAGGCCGTTGGTCACGCAGCATCTTGCCTCACCTCTCTATTACTATAAGGGCTTGATACAGTTAGAGTTTCAAACCACCTAGGTGGCAGGATTTGGATAACGCGGTCAGAATGGACCAATCTGCTGGGCTTCTTCAAAACACTAGAAAAGACGTGGAGAGGGCATTGGGGAGGAAAACTTAAGCTTATGTTTTTTATAAGTGGGTAGATGAAATTCAAAACTACGATTTGACCATTCCAATTTTAGCTACTGACGGCAGTAATCTCTTGTGGTTCTGTTTACTATGTTCATTGTACAAGGTGGTTTTAACTTTCGCATTTGTGGTTGAAATCCTAAAATGGTGTGACCATTCAAATGAAAGCTACTAAGCAATGCTTCCCTTGGGTTAATTAAGTGTTCTATACAAGGTGGTTCTTACTTTTTTTGTAGGAAAAACTTGTTCTCTAGTCCTATGATATGATACTACTTTGTGATAAATACCTGTTAAAGCAAGATGGCAATTTCATGTTTGGTAGTGCATGCGATAAAGATGTGATTACCATCATTGGCAAGGTCTTGAGTGTCCGATAGGAAACAAACCTACAATCATGGACAAAGTCCTTGGGACGGTACCGAAGTATTCATAATTTTCAGTAATTTCTGGGTTCCCTCATGAAACAGTGCATCGTTTTCGAAATTTTCTCTCAGTTTTCCCTCCCCCACCCTATATAAAGTTGAAACTCATAAAAAAAAAAAATTCTGGATACACGAGTCCAACGTTGTTTGTTGGTTGAGGGAAGAGGCTGGGCTTATGTGAATTGGAAAACGCCCCAGAAATGAAAAGTGCCCCACGATTTTTAACCATGATTGTAGCTATGACCTCCCAGACACCAAACGGGTCCTTTCTCCACTGAGATAAGGAGAAGTTCATGAAGAGCGAGGCAATACTTGAGATTCTCTTGCGCTTTGTGAATGGAGCGTACACCTGTATGTGTCAGGGATGTCGTTGGCTCAAATCCTGTCGAGACGCAAGTAGAGTTTTCTTTTTTCTTGCATTCGAGTCATCATGATGATTATCACATCTTTCTCATGGTACAATTGCGTTTGAAGAGTTTTTATTGCTTTTAGTCGTCGTTGAGAATGAAAGCGTTCAGTAGACAGGCATGTTCGTTATCTGATAGCCTACATAGCTGTCGGGATTGTTGCGCCCGGGGGAGCCGCCACGCGGGATTTTCGGGAGCGGCAAAGCGGCGGGTTGACTTGCTTTCAATTTTCACGCGGCTCCGACACCGAAAAACCACATCATTAGCCCGCTAATCCCGCCAGCTACGCAGGCTATTTATCTGAGTGATGTTAATGACTTGACTCTGATTTTTCCTGCAGTTGAATTACGCGAAAACAAATATGGTTCTGTGAAATACCAAAATCAGGAAAGAAAAGTGAAAACAGAAGAGAATGACGAACAAAATGAAGAGGATGAAGAAGGAAACACACCTTTCATCAAAAGCAATAATCCACGGTAAGTATTATAACGAAGCACTTCTTGCACAGGCATACCAGGAGCCACAACAAATAAAAACACGTCCCACTAATAATGAAATACCTTCAGTCTTAGAGTATCAGTTTGATTCATCTTCATTCTTTCTCTGCAAATGACTTCCTCTTTTGGACGCACGTTCCATATATCCACAATTTAATTGGCGCTTCTTTGGTACTAGGTCGGAATACTATCCAAGCTGAATCGGTTTAGCTTGGTCCTTCCTCCTCTGCTGTAGTTCCTGTTGGCAGTAAACGAGAAAGTTTTTCTTCGTCCCATCATCGTTCTTTGCATGCATTCTTTTTTCTCTCCGCAGCCTCTTGGTCCCGCGTTTTTACCAATGGTGTACAAAAGTGAGCGCTCAGGAGAAAAGAATTGTTGTTGTGGAAACCATTCAAATCAACAGGGGCAGCCAAAGTCAATTTTCGAAAAATATCTGTTCGGAGGACGATTTGAGATCTAGGATTTTCGGATCATTTGTTGTAAAATTTCTCGCTTGCCTGCCTCTCCCAGGATTTTCGAACATCTAAAAAATGGTATAAGTGCCCATTTTTAACGGATTTTTACCCTAAGAAGGTCACCTAGAATTTTCAGGAGCCTTTTTCAGGCTGAAATTTTCGAAAAGGTAAGTTTTGATCCCTATAATATTCAGGTCACTACAGAGGGTGACTTTCAGCTAGGAAATTCGAACAGATGAAAAATTTTTAGGGGATAAAACTATGCCCATATCTACCTTGTAAATACTAAAATACCTTTAAAGGGACAGTGTCCCGATTATGCGCACGCGCGAGCGTCATCTGTTTTTTCTTCAAAAGACAATGGAACTGTCATATTGACTTGACAAGATTTCCTTCCGGACCGCACCGCCGACGGGGTTTTGCTGTTTATATTCTCAAGTAATATTTTAGACTTTTGCGATCGAAGAAGTCTGACGTCTTATATAAATATTTGGCTCGAGGTTCGAAGACTCATCGCGATTTTATCTCTAGCTGGGCCGCCTGGAGACCCGAAAATCTCGTTTCGCTCGCTTTAAAATTGAAACTCGTGTCAGAGGTCAGTTGTGCCAAGTCCAGTAATATCTGCCTGATTTACTCGCGTTCTAGCCTCAAACGTTGAAAGACAAAAAAATGCAATCTCAACGCTATGAATCATCACAAAGGTTAGTAAAAAATATATTATGGTTTCACGGCACTAGTTTTTCTAAACATGTAGCGCCTGTTTGTTTGATTTTGTCGGCCGTAGGGAGATTCATTTAAAAGTTTACTAACGCGTCGTTGCAAAACATTCTGCTTCGTCTCAATGGTTTCTTTCTTACAGTCTCTATTGTTGCTGTTTCATCTCTGCGTATTCCTTTCACAATTATCTGAGCTTGTATGGAAGCTAGCAGAAGAAATAAGCCTTCAATCGGCATCAAAGTGCTTCCAATCTTTTGGTCCTCCCGCCAACGGCAATAAAAGTAACGCCAAAAAATCCAGATTATGCCCAAATCGAAACTTAACCGGAACAATATATCACTGATCTGTAATCCTGAGAAGTTTAATTGTCGTATTGAACCCGGCCAAGCGCGATGCAAACGGATTTTTCAAGGTTCTCTTACTCTCCTCGCATCTTTTGATTTCGCGACATCCTGTCCTAAAATCAAAGTCTGGTGCATGCGCAGTAACGGGATACTGTTCCTTTAATGATGCTATGTTTAAGTGGTTTTGAGCTATATTCTCGTTGGGTGCCCCTGATATCAAGGAAATGGCTGCAACACGTTAACCAATATAATTTGAGGTGTTTTCTTTGTAAACATAATTCACCGCTAATCATTATATACTGTTTATTTTACGTTACAGGGAGAAAGAAAGGCCGACTTCTCTATATAGCGCATCTGAGGAGAATCTATTTGCCGAAGACTTTGCCTTTGTTGACGAATACAAAGAGGCGGACGTTGTTTTTAAGTATGAAAAAGAAGGGACCTTTGTTTAATAAGGTTCGCGACGGGCAAGGTTCTTTGTATGGCGCAACATGCAGCTATATGGCTCACGATAGTAGAGAGTTGCTTTGTCATGAAGTGTATAACGAAACAATCATCGCTGCACGCTCCGTTTAAAATATTACGCTTCACTTCAGAACGTTTCATCGTTAGTGTTCACTGTTGTCTGAAAAACATTTTGCGTGACAAGAGACGAAAAGAAGAGTAAAAGACGGGAAGACCAATCCTGAAATCAAAAAAGAAACCTCACCGAAAAAGAGACTGGTGAAAATGAGGTTGGGGTCCTGAAACACTCTGGACAAGTCTGGAAAAGTCTGTGGCAGAGCAAGTTTTCTTTATCCATTGAATACCTTCTCCTCACCAGTTATGCGTTGTTATGTTGCGCAATGCCAAACGCTCTGCCCTTGAGGCAGACCAAAATACAAGGACAGTCAGGAGAGAACAGGAACTAAAATTGAACTGGAGCTTTGCTATTGGTAGACTCGAACAACAGCGCAAACCCACCGAATTTCTAGCCTACGTAGCAGGCGCTTGGAAGAAATGGGTGCAGGAAAGAACGAGGCGCGCGCGAGAGAGAGAGACACCTCCCTCTCCCCTCGCATGTGTCCTTCGGGCGCCCTGTTCTTTCTTGCGCTAGCTGAACATTAATCTTTCTTACTGTAGCTATGCAGTTTCACTTATATGCGATATATCAAAATTTGATGTATGTTAACGTTGAATAGATGATAACTGACAGAAAAATACAATCTTTTCAAGGAACAATCAGGACGGAGTATTCATTGTGTAGATTCACTATAAATCTATTTAGCTTTGTTATTTTTTGTAAAATAGTTAATATGCCAAAAAAGCGCTGCCAAATGCTTACCATCTTGATAAATATTGGTTATTGCAGTCAGCTATATTTGACAAATAAAGAAGCTTGACAGTGCTCTGTTCTGTTGTAAAGCAAGCAGAAAGCGGCTAGGGCACGGAGGAAGTTTTGTTTTGTATTTTGTCGAGCCCGAAAGAAGTGTAGGGGAAAATGTGAGACGTACTTAGTAGAGTGTTCATCCCTACTTATCGAGTGCTCTATGGCCGTTTTGTATAATGAATAGTTTTCAGGGTGTTGAGTTGGCTCTAGGTGGTCTACAAGTGTGGTACCAAAAACTGTTTTTTTTTTTTCAAATCTAAATTTACTGTGCAGTGTGACAAGAAAAAAAGGCAGATCTTGAACGAGGTGTTATAATGGTTGTTTTGGTTGCTTGTTAATATATAGATTTAGCCAGGGCTAAAAGCGAAGCTCTCGATAATATTTATAGTTTGTTCAAACAAAATATAAAATCGTGTAATGCCAAGCGGCGAAGGCAACGCCGGAGAACGGTGAAAAAAACAACAATAGGTCTAATTAGCAAAAAAGCAACTTTACACGTACAGCACACTTTCTTTGTACATTTCTTTGCCGTTGTTTTGCACGACTACAACGTGAAACTTCCGGAAACTTTTTTATGGAGGAAATTTCGTACGTGTTCTCGTTCACTTTTTTTTCACTCCACTCATTTTCTCCTTGCATTGGTGGCCAATAACATTGTCACTGCCGCTACAAAATTTTCATGTTGTTCTTCCAACAAAAAAATGTCTCCTTTGCTTTTTATCTCTCGCTCTAGATCTCTGTCCCCCCTTTTCTCTTTGAGTTTATCGGTCAAGTTTCAAAAAGACTCCTTTTACCCAGACACCACCCCCCTTGGTAAGTTGAAATCAAGATCAAGATGGCTCCCTTCACATGGGAGACAACAGGAACTCTTGGGTTCCTAGAGTCACCTCCTGAGGCTTTCGTCATAGCAAGCGCGCTTTATGGAAGAATAGGAGTCTGTGAACAGTACATCTGCTGCGCTATCCAGAAGGCCTGAAGCACCAATTTTCTCGTCGTTTCTTTTTTTTTTTTTTTTTTTCTCGCACATCGCACGCGCATTCGTTTTGCCCTTATTTGTCCAGTCATAGGTGCAAGCTCGAAATACTGTATGACCATCGGTATTGTTGTATAACCTTCAAAATATAAGGATTTGTATGGTGAAGAATTAAATTAACTGCAAAAACCGTGGACGAAGATCCTGCTAGTTGTAAACGTTGGATCTCTAGAAAAGAGATCAAATCAGCCAAAATATAAAGAAACAAGAACGAGAAGTCCGAAGACTACAGCAAAGCTGATTTAAAACAACGTGTATTGTTTTTTATAACAATATTTCGGCTGGCCATTCCAGCCTTCTTCAGGATTACAGATGTTACTGAACTTATGTAGCAATCACAATAGTATATAGATGGAGAATGTCGCGATAAAAGGGAGAGGAGGAAATGACGTACAACATAAAAACTGGAAAGGAAAAATACTAAGGATATGGATTTCAATAATTCGTCACGGCGGCTTAGGCCATGAGGTTCAAGAGTCATGGCCTTATCTAACAAATGCGACTGGTGAAGAAACGATTGTTTCTGTAACCTACGAATATGAAAGGCACGTTTAACCTCACCTAAGTTGCGTGTCTCTTCTTTCCTGTGTGATCCTCAAGCTGATTTATGGCCATTTTATGTATTTTATTGCAACCGGTTTGTTCTCCATTATAGAGAGAACAAACCGTTTCCAATAAAACCTAAAATACTTATAGGATTCAGATGGGAAAGGAAGGAGAAAGTAAATAAGCCATCCCGGATCAGTCCAAATAAAGCTTTACAGTCATAATAATTATTGATTAATACAGTCAAAAGATTGATTAATAAAGTCTATCATTTGTTAGCAAAGAATAATAAGGGGGAGGGGAGGGGGCTTAAAAGAGAGGGGGGGCTTGTCGACTTTTTTCCCCTGAAAAGGGGCTTTTTAGAGAGGGGGGCTTCTAAGAGGATTAACGGTAACTTGAACTTCTCTGTAGGCTATATTGTTGTGAGTGTTGTTTTGACGGCGCTTAGAGCTTGTTTTGCTATCCGGTCCGAACCTTTGTTACAATAATTTTGTTAGGAGGACACAAATACGGGCCAACAGGAGCCCATTACCCATAACATTTTTCTCCTTTTTCACCGCCCCAACTTTTCGTGCGTACCTTTTACTTTCGCTTCCTCCAAACTATCTGAGAGCCTGGAACAGGCTAGGGTCAACTGAATTTTTAAAAAATGACGTTGACATGCTGTGCCCGATGTCTTTTTCCCACTTCCTTTCAATTGAAATGTTGGTCTCAAAATTAGAGAACTCTACCGAGCAAACCATTGCTTAACAAGATTGGAAGGGAGATGGCAGGTACCAGGGCAGAGTGACCCAAGCTGGATGTCCTTTCTTGATTGTCGCCTCGGGTCAGGTGACACCGGATTTGTTTGGCACAGTGATACGGGTAACATACACGGCATTCCCTTACGTGGATATAAAAATAAATTTGACACTTTCTGCTCTCAACAGTGTAAAAACAGATATCTAGAAAAATAAATGCGTCATTGACTGACCCATATATGTTATTTGAGCTCTGTGAGCCCCTTCGAGGATATAAAATGACCGCTTTCTAATCAGTGCATTGCATATGTTTTCTTCTAGCATAGGGTCAGCACGGCGCTGTAATCGAGTGTATTTTAAAAATGGATGTCACGGAAAAACCACGCTCCTCTAAATCATGTCGCCTTCGCGATTTTCTTCCCTCGATCAGGCCTTCGTTTCTTTCGTTGATCTTGTTTTGTACCTGTGGCTATCTCTGGCTGAGAAATGAAACGCTGAATGATCGCATGATAGCGCTGGAAAATCGCTTGAACAAGTTCCTCAGAGAGGATCGCGTTGTGACTGATGTCTTGCCACAAGAGGTCGTAGGAAGTACACCGTCAAAGCCAACTGCCACCAAACTGCCCGATTATAAAACAGGTAAGAATCGTCTTCACTGTGCTTATGTTGTGACTATAAGCTTTTTGTACATAGTTCAGCTTCATGCTGGCAAGAAACGGAGAGCCGCGCAATGGAAACTGTGTTGTGGAATTTTGCTTGAATCATTAAAACGGGGAAAGCGGAAATCTTTGCAATGGGCAATCTTTAAAGCGGAGAATCTTAAAAGAATCCGCACTGGACGCGATTCAAAATGAACAGAAATACACCAAAGCCCGCCTAAGCACGCTTTTGAGGGTTTGGGGGTGGGGCGGGAGGGGACTATGGAGCGCGTTCATTCTCGTTGCATTCTCCTTTTGGACCGCGCTGAAATTCAGACATGAACGTTGCTTATTATTTGCGCCGTATTGGTCGAAATCATGACGTTTTTCTTCTTCTTGTGGTCAATGTATCCCCCGCGGTTTTTTAATTTACTTACGTGCGCTCCCTGCATGCGCTGGACGTTCTCTAGAGAGAAAACAGAAGGTCTGTGAACAGGAAATTAGGACAAAGAAAGATACCTATTCTGAGTTGTTGAAAGTATTGCAAAACACAAGACAATATCTTACTAAATAACGAGGCAGCGGCGTCAAGTTCAACTGCTGTACAATTTTTTCGTTTCAGCTTTGTCTGCAGGATTTTTTTTTCTGAAATCCCCCGCCCCTTATCCTTGACGTCAAAGGTTAACAATGAGTGACGAGAAGTTTCTCGCCTGTCCCCAGGAATCGAATGAGACGCCGATGACCGGAAACGGAAAATTAATATCGACTTCTTTAAAATAATTGAGAGAGAAATTAAAAATAGACTTAGGTAGTTCGACATATAAAAAATAATTGAGAAGTCAGATGTGTACCTGTGTCAAACCAGCTACACACATCTACAAGGAAGTTCACCTTGCGGAGAATAAAGGACAATTTGCATTAGGGATTGCGATGATCGGGGGAAATCCGGGGGGGACGCGTTCAAAGGAAGTACTGGCGGGTAGAGGTTTGCCGCCAAGTCCTTTCAAACCCTGACGAAAATTCTTCATTTCGCTACCGTGTTTAAGACAACTTTGTGAAGAAAATTATTTATGACTTTGATTCGTTTCGTTTTGCACACAGAATTGAGTAATTCCTCAAACTAAATATAATAGAATAAAATTTTTTGGTCAAAACAAAAAAAAAGGAAAAAAAAAAGAAACGACAAAAAAAAACAATATTAATGAGGACCGCTCATAGCCAACTTTCACACTCTTTTGAAGGTTCCCAATCCAAAAAGACAACCTGTTCAAAACGCTTTTAAAATAGCTCCTAGCAATCGGATTACGTTTAAGACTCAAGAGCCTGGAAACCATTTCCTCTCTGCTGTGCGATCGTTTCCCGTGTTTTCGAATAACCTTTTTGTAAACGTTTCAACGCTTGTCATGCAGATATGTTTTAAGCTTTGCTGTCTAGGATAAGTGCACGCTCAAGGATATAGGATGGCGCTAGTTGAATCCTCATGTGTAAACGTTCTTCGTCTAACAAAATTATTTGAGCGCGCAAAACGTATCTGCGAATACTATACCCTCTCCAAAAAAGGAAAATATATCTCTACCTACGGACTCACATGCATTTTTCTTTTAGTCAGGAATGTTTCTACAGCGATGCCGGCAACTGACAGGAAAAGGTATCGCAGGGATGTCCCGGAACCGGACGAAATTCCTGAAACACCCGACCTCTTCCCGGACATTCCAGATTTCAACTTTACCAATATGCAAAATGCAACTCCGCCTTTAGAAATCCCAAACCCAGATTTCAATTTTAGCGTGGATAGCATATTGGAAGAAATGAACAAGTACTTTGAAAAACTGCAGATCATGACTCTTCAGTACTGCAACTCAACTGCAACAAGCTGCCCTGCAGGTCCCCCTGGACCTCCCGGACCGGTAGGCCCCCGTGGTAAAAGGGGAAAAAAGGGAAGGCCGGGTGACCGGGGACCTCGTGGATTTGATGGCTCTGATGGAGCACTAGGAATGACCGGACCGATGGGAATTCCAGGACTTCCAGGACTGACTGGCCTAGTGGGATCACCCGGACCAATGGGACCTGTAGGACCAGAAGGACCGATTGGCCCCGTGGGATCACCCGGACCGATGGGCCCTCCAGGACTAGATGGATCGATTGGCCTTTTGGGACCACCCGGACCGATGGGCCCTTCAGGACCCCCGGGGGCACCCGGACGTCCCGGAAAAGCAACAAGTGACAAGCATGTGGTAGTTTCGCCTTCAAAACAGACAGCAAATATGGAAACAAGTGCGACATTTTACTGCACGATTGATGGAGAGCATACCTCTGGAACACAATGGAAATTCAATGGCCAAAATCTTACCTCAGGAGAAAAGTATTCGATCAGTGACAATGGCATTCTGATCATAAAGCGGTTAAACTACAAGGATGCTGGACAGTACACCTGTGTTGGCAAAGATGTTTTTGGAAGGCCTGAATCTAGTGGCATCCTTACTGTCCAAGGTATGAGTATTATGGTCTTAAATTCCCAAAAGTGAGCTCTGTCCCCGAGTTGTTTTTTTGTTGCCTAGACATATTCTTTGACGAAGCTGTAAATTTGCCATTCCAGGCGCTCATGATGATGGGCTCCTGGCCATTCACAAGATCATTTCTCAAGTTCCACAAAAAAAGGACGCCAAAGTGACATTTTAACAAAACGAACCAGTCAATCGTCATACAGCCCCTTCCAATTTTCATGTCGCAGAAAGAGTTGCGTATCACAGCTCTTTTTATATTTAATTCCAAGCTTATGACGTTGAAAAAGTGGAGGCTTTGGTACAAAGTACCAAGGACCAGCTTCTCCAAATTTTCACTAAATTTCGATCCCGAAAGCAAATTTTAAAATCCATACCAGTTTAAAATGATCTACTTAAGAACAGTGGCCGAAGCCCGTTCAAGCTAACAAACCAGGCCATTTTTCACTTATAGTTTTAGTATATTACTCTCAAAACTATTAAAACTCCTTTTTTGAATGTTAACGTGCAAGAAAAAAGACAGATTTTCGGGCCGGGTGTTTCTGAGACCTCCGAGTGTCCGGTCCCTGGTTATGACAGGAATATTACTGAGTCATTCCAACACCTCAAAACCATAGGCTCGATTCTCCTCGCTCTCTCGGGTCCGATCTCGATCCTCCCTGAGAGGAGTCTTTTTTTTGGGAGGGGGGGGGGGGGGGGGGGAAGGGCCTTGGCTTATGTCCTCAGCGGCGGCTGGTAATCGAGCTTATACTACAAAATCGGTGCGGCCATTGGTACTAGATGGTAAGCTTAAAAGATTTCTAAACAACGGAACTGAGATTTCTTTCAAACCAAGTTTTGAAATTTTCATTTCTCCCCNCAGTTGGAAAGACTAAAGTAAAAGAGGGTACACTTATCATTAGCGACCTGAATGTCACTACAGACGGTGGATTGTACGAATGTGCTGCAACGAACTCATTCGGAGCAACGAAAGCCCGGATAAAAGTTGATGTGCAGCGACCTCAGCTTCCAGCAGGTTTGTATATCGTATAGTTTGGCAGATTTTACTGCTCTCGTTCCCAGTCTCTCCTGAAGCTCTGTTTTGTTTTTTGTTTTTTGTTTTTTTGCTCTAGAAGTTTACCGGCTTAGCTTTCCCCTGAAGTAGTTTATAGGTACGCCACCGAATTGACTGAAAACAAAGAATTCAAAATAATAAAACATAATAGGATTAGAAGTAAGTAACTGGAGGCTGCCTCAAGTAAAAAAATTAATGCTAGAGGAATTGGGCCTGATCCTGTGACCCCGGGGGAGCACACAAGGGAAGTTTGGGTAATGTTTATTTCGCTATTGTTTTTAAGTCAAGCGACCTTATTTTTCAGTCCTAATTCGTTTCATTTTGCAGATCGAAAGAATCAAGTAATTTTTTTAATTTAAAATTATAGGGTTTAGCACTTTTGGACATCACAAATGCAGACTGCTCATCCAAAAATAAACCGCCCTGTTCAAGACACTTTATAGTAAAATCGTTTACCGTCTTTATAAGAACCAAGACCCTGAAAAACCACATGCACCTAGCTTGTTCAAGCGGTACATACTCGTATTGGCCAAATAAGGGAGTGCTTCCCTAGCCCTCGGGCCTGTGACCAAACCAATTGCAAAGATACTGTGAATAACCCCATGAGTAGCCTGGGTGACAGGCGCAAAAAGGGGAAGGGGAGTAGGAAGCGAGAAAACCGCGAAAGAGGGGGAAAAGGGAAGGGAGCTTTACCCTTTCTCCCCAAGCCCCCATCTTTTTCCCTTCCTCCCTATCCCCTACCCCTTTCGACGCCTGCGCGTACGCAGGCTACCCCATAATGAGACTGTTTTCTGGTTCTTCTTTTTCTTGCAGAAAAGTGTAACTGCTGGCGTGGTTCAAAGGGAGGGTTCACGGCTTTTTCTTGGGGGTATGACGGACCCAACGGGAGGGACACCGATGTTTTTGATTTCCAGTCTGATGGAGACTTTATACTTCATGGTTTCCGGATGAGGGGTGTATTTGTGAGATACAACCCTACTACAGACGTGAGCATTCGTCTACAGTAGGCTAACAACGATTCCTTGATCGCAGAAAGAAATGGCACGTTTATTGGCCTAGACAATCGCCAGGACGTGACCTTTGAAGTTCTTTTTCCCAAAGGGGTGCATATTCGTTCTGGTGTTAAATACACCGCATCGTCTAAAATGGATGCTAAGCAAATAAACGCTTTCTTTTACGTAAACACTAATGGGAGAAAAATGGTCACGTGTTCTAAAGCAACGATTGCCTTTACTCCTACTCCCCGTAGTAAAACATCTAGTCCATATCGTGGTTCAAACATCAGAGGGGGGCAGATAGCGGCTTTTATTATCGGTTCCTCTCAGTGTTAAGAGACCTTGTGTCTGACTTTTCCAATCTCAAGAGTTTTCCATGCATGAAATTTAATATTTCACTTTGTAAAACAAATATAGATCTTTTTTAAATAACGTTACGGCGGGCATGCTGGTGTACCACAATAATCCCATGGGGATTTTGTTCCAAGAAATTTGCATCATTAGTGATCATGTGATTGAAAGCGATCTATACCTTATTTGTCTGTCGGGGAGGTTTGGATCGTGAGATATTGGACTGAGGCAATCGGTTTAGTAATAAAACTCGAAATAAATTCCTAAGAAAAGTTTACGAAAAGTTTTTGATTGGTATTTTTTAATTGTAAACAGAGTCGCGAGTGGCCCGGAATCCGAGTCGAGATCGTAGGATTTCGGACTGGAAGTACGTCAATCATAGCAAATGATTTTATAGATCTCCTATCACAAAAAAATAAATAGATGTTTTTGAGAAATTGGTAGCAGCATTTGAAATTACTGTAAACTCAAGTGCAAGTAAAGGTATTGGTTGAGTGAGCTCCTGATTATATTTCCTGCACTATCTTGGAACTGAAAAGAGAGGGTGATTTTAGAGATAGGAAAGTGTTATAAATGATTAGGTTTCATTGTCTTGCGTTAATTTTATAGTCATGACAGATGACATGTAATCATCTCCGTCTATGTTACACTTGATGTGAACATCATTATTTGCAATAAAGATGATTCTAACGAATGTGTTAAGACGGCCTAAGTGATCTTGATTTGCTATTTCGCAAAAAGCACTTTTTCTGTTAACTTACAAAATAACAAACATTGATCGCAGGCTTTACTGGAATCATTGCGTTCTTTTTTACCCCTCTCCACTGAGAAACCGCTTATAATTTTCAAATACGCCTTTCAGAAACCTCGTTCCAAGGGAAGTAGGAGAGAACCCTGGGAACGAGGTTGGTCTTTCAGTTACACTAAACTGGCATGGGCGACAATAGGAATAGTCGTACAAGGTTCTCAGATAGTAGAGGATGTCGCAAAAATTAAAAACAAGCTAAGAGAAAATGAGACGCGCGGTTTTTCGTATCCGTTTCCACGATCTCTGCTAAAGGCCTGGGCCGTCAGTTTCTTAAAAGTCCGGGTACCTTTTTGGTCCCTAAATCAAACAGTCAAACCAAGAGAAGAGTCACGCTGTCTTACGGTGAACGAGATTAGCGAAGTTCCAAGCCAACAAAACAGCGTCACGTCGCCTCGATATGCCGTCACTTTTGCAAGAAACGGGTCCCTAGAACAGAGTACCATCGGATCTACTTAGTGCACGAGACGGCATGGGGCGAGGTCGCGTAGTCGTGTCCGTGAAAAAAATTTAATTGATGTTTGTTCTCTCCCTCGTGGCGGCAACGAGAGTCAGAACAAATTTTTTGGACTCACAAGAAAATTTGTCCATTTAGCGAATAATTTTTAATATCTCAAATAATGATTTGTGCTTCTTTATAACAAGAGTTTTTTGAAAACCTAACATTTTATAGGAGCGCCAGCGCGCGCGAAGCACCTACAGCGGAGCACCATGGGTTGAGAAAAATAGCCCACGTTCAGTAACTTAAAATTCTAACATGGCCAAAATTGCAAATTTTTCATGACTCCATTTTCTCGCAATTCCCACAAAAGACCTGAGCACAAAGAAACCAAAACCAGATATAAAAAAATGACCTGAAAGCTTCGGAGTCATGTTAGAATTTTAATATATCGAACGTCGGCTAATAGTTGCTACTGGTTATCTATGCATCCAAGGAATTTTGGTTCTGAGAAAAACGTCCGTACGTCCGTACGTCCACCCCTTCTCATCAGTGTGAGCCGGGGTGAAATTTTGCATTTCAAGTGCCCACGCATTTCGGCCGCACTACAACTGAGACCAATCTCACTGGAAGAATAACATGAAAATTTTATAGCGGCGGTGAGAAAATGAGAAATGCTAGTGGCCTGCAACGTGAAAATGAGTAGTAGCGAAAAAAAAGTGCCAGGAACACAATCAACATTTTCCCCAAGTTTCACGTTGTAGTCGTGCAAAACAACGGCAAAGAAATGTACAAATTAGTGTGCTGCACGTGCAAAGTTGTTTTTTTGTTGCTAATTAGACCTACTGATGTTTTTTGGCTGTTTTCTTTGCCGTCACCGCTTAGCACTACACGATTTTATATTTTGTTTGGGTAAACTATAGATGTTAACGAGAGCTTCGCATTTAGCCCTGGCAGTGTGTAAAGGAGCACGAAAAATTGGTCCCTCCCTAACGATATTTAGTCCTAATCAATCTGCCACTAGCTATTGTGTGTTCAGAAACAGGTGAGACATCAAAACCAAGTAGAAAATAAAGAAATGAAGATTAAACTGTAGACCAAGTTTCATCTCACCTCAGTTCTTCAGGGTTTACCTCGGTGTAAGAAACTGTGAACTTTTTCTTTGTTTTACAGCTTTTTGTTTTCTAGGTTTTATTGTCTTGATTCCTTTGTTTTCAGTTTGTTTTACGTCACCGGGGAGTTTGAATAACAGGTTCTTACACCGAGGATGAGAAGTTTTTCACAGGCGGCTCAGACTCAATATGTGGGGAGTTCGTTGGAATTTGAATTTTATTAGGGAATGATACGAATACGATCTATTTTACCAAGATCGATATTTTTAAACACTTCGCAATAAAAATGACTCAGTTGGTGTTTGTGTTGTGTGTTTCGGCTGTCGGTTTGCTTCTAGAGCCGTTTTATCGAGTTTAATGGCTTCCAAATGGCTCTAGAAGAGAACAGACAGTTATTTAAACACAACACAAACACAAGTTGAGTCATTTTTATTGCGAATTTTTTTTTTAAAGTGTAATTTAGATCGTATTTTGTTTATTTTCATACATTCTGTTATAAAATGCAAATTCCAACGATCTCCCATATAGAGACTGCATAAGCCGCCTGTGAGTCTTTCCTCTGGTCCGTTGCATGCATGTAACGACAGTGATCGCTTCCCTTTAACTTTCCAGCTGCTTATACAGATACTCTAAAAACCTGTGAGAATTGTACCTACTTACTTAGAAGAAATCTTCAAACATTGGCCATATAACAAGACAATTAATTATGAAAGTGGAAAACTAAAAAACATGCTCACCTTTCTGAGCGAGGCACCGGTGAATTCAAAGTGTTTCGCAGTCGCCCGCCACCAAGTTAGGCGGTTGAGTGGTTGACCGGGTTGCGGCAAAAAACGACCCAGTTAGGGATAAAGTCGGGACGGTTTGGCATTAGCCTGCGTAACAAGCGTTTCCGCGCGAGTTCGAGCTTATTCTCAATAACAACAGCGGCGACTTACGAAAAGGTCACTTGAGAAAGAGAAGTCTCACTGCTTCAAACTTTATCACTGTTATTCCAACTCGTTCAATTTGTCAAATGTTGGCAATTTTTTGCTGAAGTTCACTCTAAAAGACTGTTTCGAAATTCAGGGAAAGAAAAAAGTCGTATGTTGTGTTCACGCCCTCCACACTGAAAACATGAAATTAGGCATTTTTAACGTCAGCCGCGCAGTGACGGTGAAGAAATGTATATTTACAAGAAAGCGTGAAGCACGTGCATGCAAAGTTGTTGTTTTGCAAATCCTAAACCTAGCCTGTTCCAGGCTCTCAGGCAGTGGGGAATGCTCCCTTGCCTCTTGAGGCGAAGCTCTCGGTAATATTTAGAGTTTGCTCAAACAAAATATACAATCGAGTAATGCTAAGCGGCGAAGGCAACGAAATAGGTCTAATTGCCAAAAAAGCAACTTTGCACCTGCAGCACACTTTTTTTGTTCATTTCTTTGCCGTTGTTTTGCACGACTACAACGTGAAACTTCCGGAAACTTCGTAGTTACACGTTTTATGGAGGAAATTATCGTACGTCTTGTTAACGTTTTTACCGCCTCTTCATATTCACCTTGGAGGCCACTAGCAGTTCTCATCTCTCATTTCTGTTGTCTCTGCTTCACAAGACGTGGGTGACTATGCGATTTCCCGCCGAAATAACCTCGAGTTGCATTTGGGTTGCCATACTTGTTGATTGAGTTATTTTACATTGGTATGCCTGTGGTGCGGACGGACGGTGGGCGGGCAGAAGGCGGTCGGTGGACGGTCACGTGATTAACAAATTTTATAGGATGGATAGACAGCTCTGCTATTTTATTTTTAGCTGTTAGTGTGCGATACTATTACAATTTCTGTGAGAAAAATTATTATAATTTTAGTTTTATTCAAATATTCATTATTTCAGTATTTATACTGTATTTTACAAATTATTCTTAAGGCTTTTTTATTATTTATTTATCATTATTATAGTTGTAGTATTTACCATTGAATTATAATAAATAAATTAAAAAATAACACGGTTGGAAACGCGTGCTACATCGCTACATAATGGCATATGGTGCACGAGGTCCAGTCCCATCTCTCTTTTTTAACCGTGAAGGCCTTGGTAGGAGTTTATAAACCACCAATCAGAACGAAGCTATTGCTGGAAAATTCTGGCGCCAATGTTAAAAGTCACATGACAACCTAAAAATGATGACAAAACAATCTTGCACATCCAAGATGGACGACGATGAAATCCAGCTCGTCCAAGTTACGGTAAGGTTTACGTGCTCTGCTGACTTACACACACCTTTCTATGTCAGCCGGATTAAATTATTTTTACCTCGAAATCCCATTTCTTTGCCCAATTTACTTTTACTAGCATTTAACGATTACAGTGTTCGAAAAATTGACTATTATAGTCAAAGCGATAAGAATCAATTGCAGCATTAATGGCTTCGCGCGCGCACTAATTCTGAAATAGCTATCATTTTTAGTCTGAATATAATGGCAGATATTTCTTTGCGGCGGCCTCATCGAAGCACTTATCCAAAGATGAAAGTGTGTATAGTTCAAATCTAGTCTTAACCTTTATGAAGGTCTCTCAGAGTGGTAGAAAGATTGATACGTGCGAGATCGTCGGCCATGCCGAACCTTCAGCGTGGTGCAGTCCAGAGATCATATCATGCTTCTGTTTAAGTTTTGGATGTAAAACAGTCCTAAAGCTTCCAGAAATCCTTAATGGCAGCACGGAAGTGATTTTCTACAGATTATGTTGATATTCTTTTCATTTTATTAGTGCGCGCGACTGGAAAACTTGCACATGTTTGTTTCACGATGGCGCGCACTTCTGACATTTGACACCAAGGCATCCCACTCAATTTGCGTGAGGATTTTGATGTAGAAACGCTCTTGTATTGTCGTTTAACTTATGAATTGTTTGATCTACTTTCTAAAATATCTAGCAATCAATTTCTTTCTTTTATCGTTTAACTGTACAAGAAACTTGGTGGATGCCCCGGCGCGAAAATTATTGACCCACAAACCAAAAACATTTCATTGGGTACTCAATCATAACAGTGCGCCAATTTGCTGTCAGCATTTACACATGCTTTGGATGTGTAATGGTGAGTTTAATTTTTTTTTGTACTTTTGCTTTTAGGTGCGCTCAGCAGGATCATTAATATTAAACAGAAAACGAAAGAGAAAAGAATCACTGCCACCACAGATAACCACATGTACAGAAACACCAAGTAGTGATGACATAGTGTACAAAGCTGCACAGCTAAAAAGGAGGGTATGTACCTAACTTGCAAACAGTGTGTATATAGAGTCTCTGTTATCCAAGTTGTATAGTCTGTTCTGCACATCTGAAATTGACATTTTTTGCTTGCAAATACAGTGAAAGCTCTCGTAAATGGACACCCTCAGGACATGAAAATGGTGTCCATAACTGCAGCTGCATGGCCGCTTACAAGAATGTAAAAATACAGAGTTTGTATGGGATTCGAAAAAAAACAGGGTTTTGTGAAGGTGTCCGTAAGCAGAGCTGTCCGCCTACGAAAGTGTAGCAGGTTATACAGGGTCCGCAAAAGTACTGTCTGATTAACTGTGTGTGGGTGGGTAGTGGAGCGAGCTGTCATGTTTTAGGGGCTGCCCACACTGGGAACCAGTGCCTGAGCACTGGGACAAAATGGTGTTGTGTTCACTCAATGAAACATGAGCTTAATGGCAAGTACACAACAGTGTACTGCCCCAGAACTAACAAAAAACCGGTGTGAACACAGGGACCCGGTGCCCACTTTTGTGCACAAGTACAAAGGTCTAGCAGTGACACCATGCACAAATTCAAGCATGGGTTATAGAAGAGGGAGGTTACATTAGTGTCCAGTGAGTACTGTACTTTGGCACAGTGTGCTTGAGCAGGAGGTACAGCTGTACAATGTGAGTGGTGCCTTAGTTAGGAATAGTCCAATGAGCAAACAATATCTAGGAAGATAAAGTAAACGCTAGGGAAAAGGGGGGTTGGTAGGCCTGCATGACTGCTCTGGTTTGTAAACTTCAGCAACAGTTTACTGAACAGGTAAGTAATTTCTTAAAATTTTCATCCGACCCTGTTTAACACAGTACAATGTGTGGGCATTGCAGAATTACATGCTTGTTTCATGCATACAAATCCGCCATATTGCATCCAATTAATGGACGTGTTTTAACCCATTCGCCCCTGAACCGCCCGTAACCGCCCGTGCGGATCCAGGTCCTTTCTACCCTTTGTGACGTCATCAGTTTTAATGGTCAAGGACAACTTTCTTCGCTTACTTATGCAGAGTGAAGAGATCTTTCAAACCATACCAGAATGAGCACAATTCAGTCAAGGACACCAGAGAAAGAAGCAAAAAACCACCTGACATTGACCTGAAAATCTCCATGAAAATCTTGTTCCATTGCTCACCTACCTTTCCTCTCACCTAATCCTAAGATCCTAAAAGCTTTTCTAAAAACTCTTCTCACCACAATGAAGCCTACTAAATACCCAGCAAGAGAAAAAAAAAGAGGCAAGAAAAGTGAAAAAAGAAGGGAGAAGAGAAAGCGAAAAGTAAAAGTCACGACTGCTGTGTCACTTTTAAACCCAAAAACTTTGATTTCTGCGCATGCCCGAACTTCACAAGCTGATATTTTGCATCTGGATCAGAAGGCCGCGAAGTGTACGACCTGTAAACCGGTTTGTGGTAAGTTTTAGCTCTCTATAGCACGACAATGACCAGAAAACCACTCGACTAGCTTCAAAACGCGTTTTTCGGCCAAATCCCCAGGAGCGAATGGGTTAACCTGTGATGTTTTTGCCCAAAACGTCACAAATGTACAGTAATAATTAAATGATTTAATTGTTTATATTGGTTTTGTAACAAAAATTTACAGTGGCATTGGACATGAAATACAAGAAATAAACTGTATATACATGTATGTGTGTCAAATCTTGTGGTAAGTCTTGTTAATTTATTACATGTAATTTACTAGGGGCAAACTCACTGTAGGGTTAAACTGCTGGCATCTGACTTTGGATAATTTTTACTTTCATATAGTTGGCATTTTGTGAAAAGGAACAGCAAGAACTTACAAAGAGATTTAAAGAAATTGAAGAACAGTTAACCAAAGAACAGTCTTCTGCCTTGAATGTCAAACTTGAAGATTCTGAAAAAAGCTCTCCTCTGATCTGTGCTGGGGATAACAGTGATGATGATGTTGTTTTTATTCTTCCTGAGGACTATTCTCCTTTGAAAAGAAGGAAGCTTGATGATGACAAGAAAGCTGAGAAAACTGTTGAAAATGTAGAGAAAAAAGATGTCTCTATTACCTACTTTAGACCAGCAACAAATTTGCCACATGCAAGAGAAAACTGTTCAATCCACAAGTTTGTTCAGAGCAACGTAACATCATCGACGGTTTCATGTAATGAGAAGTACTGTGAACAGTGCTATTGTTATGTTTGTGATGCTGTGATGGTAACACAAATTGTTACTCTAAGCAATACAAAGGAAGTTAAAATGCTACAACGGAACAAAATTTTAAACCTGGATAAGCGCTAATCGGCTTTTCAGGAACCGGGCCCGGGCCCCTGAAAGTCTAGTGATCCGAAAATTATACGGATCAAAACTTACCTTTTCGAAAATATCAGCCAGAAAAACGGCTCCCGAAAATTCTAGGTGACCTTTTTTAGGGCAAAACTCCGTTAAAAATGGGCAATTATATCATTTTGCGGATGGGGGGGGGGGGGGGG